ATTGCTTGAACTGTTCTTTCCTTGCCATGTGTTTTCTTAATGTTGAACAATATTTTCTGACACAAATAAATAGAAAACGATCATATGTATAATTTTCTTGTCATATTCTCTCAAAATTAGTGTAGTAAACTATTGCAAAGAAAGTAGAAAGAAAGTAAAATTATTTAGGAAATATATAGGAAAAACTTATCAAAAGGTTATAACACAGATTTTCGTCTGTAAAACGTCTTCTAAATTAACAGGTAAATAGATAACTGACTAAATAAAATGTCCACATGAAATGTACATATGAGATACAGACTTTTATAGATGTAAAGGTTCTAACAAATGACAGTTTAAAATATTGCTACAGTGTCTCCAGCTGTTTATTGTTCCTCATCTTCCATCAAGTAGAAACCAGGGATGGAAATTTTCTCCCAGGCTTCAGAAGCAGCAGTGTTTGCATCGTCATTATCATCATCGTTTCCTGACAGCCTAATAGCTTCAAGGTAGGGCTTACAGATGTTTTCTGCTTTTTCTGTTGCCATTTTTTTTAGTTTGTCGTTTAGGTGAATACTGACTTCCTCTGCTAGAAGGTCTTCAAATACTACACTGTAGTAAGGCTGACAGCGTGGCCTTGTTTTAAAACAGCTGCAAGACAGTCTTTTAATTTCACAGGTCGTCCAGACAAATAAAAAACCACAGATGAGAAAAAGACCATAATCCTGGAAAAGAAAAGAAAAATACAGTTTGAAAACAATTCACATACTTGTTTTAAATTTATGTTTGTGTTTTTAGTCAAGTTCAAGTTTATTTCAACTCTTTTCGCATTTCTTAACATTCAGCTTCCAATGACCTGGCAGTACATAAAGGTCTTTTGAGCACGGACAGTTGTTATTAAAGTGATGTTTTCTTTCTCTATTGTCAGTCAGACACACAGCTTTTGAATTTTGCGCAAGCATCCACTTGATGCTCTGAGCGCACTAAGTAAAGCATTGTGATACTTTCCTTACATGGAGGTAGAACTAAAATGCTTTTAAATGTAACAAAATTTCATTGTCTTACATTTTTTAACATGTGAATTTTAGTTTAAAAATGATGTTAGTCAAATTGATGTTGCATGATTGTTGTGTGTTGTTACTTACAAGTGATTGAGTCATATAGTCTCCTATAATCCGTTGCTCCTCATAGGTCAGATTTTGTTTGCATGGAATTCCAGTCTGGTTCTTGTTGAAGTTTGTCTTTAGGCAAACGAACCAGTCTCCATCAAAAAGAACAGCAGATATCCATACAGCCGCCAAACTGATCCACTTAATGAAAACCTTATAGACATAGCTGCCAACACACATAGCACATCTCGAGAGAGAGTGACACCAGTAAAAAATCTTTCTTTGGTGAAAAGGTTCAACAATGATGACAATAAAGGCGAGGATCAAAGGAGGCAGAGCCATGTACAGTACACCATTTGGATGCAGGCCCGGTTCACACGAGCATAAAAAATGCATGTTAAAAATGTACTGCAGGATGTAGAAGATGACTATGAGCACCAAAACACCCACAGAATTTCTGATTACTTGAAGAAGTTTGTAAGTAAACTCCGGAAATGCCATCCTGGATGAAATTAGTATCGGATGTCTTAAGTTAGTAAGTTAGATTTTTGAAATGTTCCTCCTCCAATGGCTGAGTGAAAATGAAAAATAATTCTGAAGCATAAAGCATATAGTACCATTATATTGCCTTTAAATACATTATGTGCCCATGGTTTACCACAATGAGGCTGTTTTAAGTACTTTCAGAATGATGCAAATCTTGGTTTTCACTTCTCAAATACATTTTTAGGGTTTTCCAGACAGATTCTATTCACTAATGAACAACATCACGGAGGGAAATTTCAGGAAATACACAGTAAAGTTATTCAAACAACATAGTGATATGGTTAATAAGATATCTAACTTAAGGAATGTGTTGTGTCTACACCAACAACTTGTCTCATAACAGCAATTGTAAATTGTATCATAAGGCACTTTGTTACTGGCAGCTTGTTGTAAAAACACATTTATTCACATGTTTTTAGTTTAATCTTTAAAACAAGCAGTTTAACTGGCATAAAACAGTATTTTTGCAATATGATGAAAACTTATAACTAAGAAATGGTAGGTATTAAAAAAAACTATCTACAGCAGCTGGACAGTATCTGAAAGTCATGTTCTAGAGAAATAGAAAAATAATCAGCAAATACCTGACACAGGATGTGAGAGATACACCTAGCACTTTGCCAAGGTAAGAAGGAAAAACTCCCTTTTTAAAGCCACGGCCAGTTGGGAGGGAAGAGAAAAGCAGAGAAAGACAGGACAAAGGATACACATGGGAGAGAACCACAGTTTAAATTTAGTTTTTAGAGGTATAAACACATGGAGACCAAAAAGAGAGGTGTGAAGAAGAAGCCCTCAGAGCCTTTAGGCAACCTTGGCCTATAGCAGTGAAACTAAGGGAGGATTCAAGGTCACTTGATCAAGCCCTAATTATATGCTTTATCAAAAAGGAAAGTTTTGAGCCTAATCTTAAAAGTAGAGAGAGTGTCTGTCTCCTGAATTCAACCTGAATCTTTTTCCACAGGAAAGGAGCCTGGAAGCTGAAGGTTGTACCTCCCATTCTACTTTTAAAAACTCTAGAAACCACAAGTAAGCTCACAGTCTGAGAGCAAAATGCTTGGAATAATACAGTACTATTTAAGAAATCAAGTGTCCTGGTTATTCAAGACCTTGCATGTAAGGATAGGGATTTTAAATCCAACTCTTGAATTAACAAGGAGCCAGTGAAGAGAAGGGAGAATTATGCTCTCTCTTTCAAGTCCCTGTCAGGACTTTCACTGCAGCGTTCTTGACTAACTGAATGCTTTTCAAAGAACTTTTAGACAATGATGAATCACAGTCGTCCAGCCTAATAAATGCACCAAGTAACACCATGCATGAAAATACAATAACATCTAGAAAGCACCTGGTAGGAAAAGGCTTCATTTTTCAGCATGACTGTCAATACAGTAAAAGCATAGCTAGATAGAAAAATTCCCAATGGAGCACTATCAGTCATTGATTGGCCTCCCAAGTGCCTCCAATAAAGAGCTTTGACTATCTTTCCAGAATCATGGAGCACTAGTCCTGAAGACATCTGAAAATTACAAGAATGCTTGCATAAGTTGAGGCTGTGTTGAAGAATAAAGGTGGACATACTAACTGTTAGCTTTCAAGCTTGTTAGAACTGAGGTAAGGGCAAAAAAAAGATTTGCTTTAAGGGTTTGTGGCTTGTGTGCTATAATTTCATGTGTGTTTGTTTAATTTGATCATTTTGAGCATTCATTTTTTTAGCAAAATAACATTTTACATAATGCGCACCTTTCTAACACTAATCTTTAACAAGGATTGTCAAGAAAGTAGGATTTTGGTTGCAGTTATCTACTACAAAATGCTTGCACCAAGAATATATGTGTTTGTTGTTTGCTACAAAGCAAAAACTAAGCCTTTCATTTTGTTTTATGGCTTAACGGTTTAAAAACTCTTTCACAGTTGCATGCTCACATCTCTTGCAAAACTAAAATAAAAACTGAAAAAGAAAATGTTTCTTGTTTCATAAGATCATATGATGTGACATACATGTGCGTAAGTTTCAGTTTGATGTACACATTTGAGGTTGGCAGAATTTCTCAGTGGTCAAGAGGACTCTGTAATGTCTTCACTTGTCACACAAGTGTTGCACGCCACATTTCTTTCGATACTGTAGTTCAGTCCAAGCAGCTATTAGTATGAATAAGGCTAATCGTCTGTTTTGAAGTGCCAAAAATATCACCAGAGATTCTCATCATCTATTTTTTCTGTTGTTATTTTAGTGAACAATGTTTGGTCCTTTTCATACATAAACAAGTGTTACGAATGTTCTCTTTTTCCTCGACAGATCAAATTTTGTCCACCTTGAGTAAATTGCCTAGCCCAGGGTGCTACTCTTTTTCCTTGTATGCATATTATGCTTTTGCCGTAATAAAACCAGCAGCAGTCGGTACTGCATGCTATAAATATATACATGAAAAACATATTCTATGTCATAACTACTGTGAAAAATGTTTTTCTGGATGTAATCCCTTCACTTTGTAAAAGCTTAACTAACATCACAAAAATAATCTCTTTCTCTTGTAAATCAGTCACATGAACTTTTATTTTGATAAGATAAACAAGCTAGATGATGACCTGTCAACCAAAATGAAGAACACACCTTAAAAGTAATATTTACTTATGGTGTTGTATTGTATTTTCTAAGTGCTGTGAGAGAGGCTGAGCAGACAGTTCTGTGCAGGCTGCTGACAGACAGCAGCAGAAATATATTACTTGGATAAAAAAAAGTGGATAAAGAATAAATAATTACCTTTTTTCTTGGTCTCAAGAGATTTCATCAGGAGCCATGGCAACGCTCGGACAAATCATCTTCTACAGGTGCGACCATGAGGTTTAAATATTTAGTGTTGTCATTCAACTTTGAAAATATTTAGGTGTCTCCAGTGGTAACCGAGTATGTTTGCTTTTACTGCACCAGTAGAGAAAGAAAACATCTCACCTTGATGTTATTTGACAGCTGTAGTTGCTGATTACTTCTAAAGTTTCAGATTATAATACAACAACATGTTATTAAAGATTAAACTTATGCTTCACAACTAGTTTAATATGTGATCCCTAACAAAATAAAAGTTGCTGACAGTCTGTCAAAGAGATATTTCTCCTTTAAATATTAACATTTTTGAACCACAAAGAAAACACTTACAGAAGAATTGAAAACAATCTCCAGCTTTCTTATTGCAATGGGGTTTTTTGTCCTGATCATCACGAGACCCAAAAGACCCAATGCATGGAGCCCAAACCCTACAGTTACAGGAAGAATAATAGAAGCTATTTGAAGAACTGCTATGAAACTAATCCTTAAAAACTAATACTATGTGTTTTGTTAAAATTGCACTTGTGTTTTTCTTTTTGTACAGCATGCTCGTCATCATCGTCATACTTAGTTTCTTCATCATCCTCTTCTTCTCTCTGGCCTTCTCAAGTAAGACCCACAGATCTGTTTGGATCCTCTTGTCATTAGTGATGGCTCGGTGAGGCCTGGGGTGATACATGGGTGTGCTCACCACGTGCTGTGTTTCTCTAAACTAAAATACAGTTAATCTATATGGATGGCAACACGGCACGGCATCGAGTGTTTAACTGTGAATATTCATTTGTGTCTGCACGTGTGATGATCTCTAAATATTTGTGAGGCTGACTTTCCACTTGACAGAAATAATGTTGATAGCCAAGTAACACATATACTCTATATTCATGTTTCATTTCCTTGAGAAAATGTTTATGTGTGTTTAGGTATGCTCGACTGGTGCCGGTTTAACATGGTATTAAGGGAATATTGACTTTAAATATCATTTGATAGTTTCATTCATAAACATGGTGCGCCTGAGTTTTTACTGTGGAATCCTGTCCTATATGAACCTGTGAAATTGGTATTTTGGCCATCACCTTGTTGATGTCTTGAAAGTGGGCGTGACTATATTTTAGAAGAATGTGTGAAGCTGATATCTAGCTAGCATTCAAGCTAGATTAATTGGCATGTTAGTTTTATGAAGTTACAAATTTATTAAATATGCGCAATGTTATTTTAATTTAACTGAATGCCAAAAAAGATCTGATTGTGAACCAAAGGACACGCCATGCTCATACAGTAGTGAGTCATCAGTCACAGAGTAAAAAGCATACCGCACTTTGAGTGGGTTATTTTTATAAATGGCACGATAATTTCCAAGCTAAACATGATAAAGTCATAATACTACTGACTGAGACCATAAAGGCATTAGGAAAATATTTACTGAGGCTATAAATCAAGTGAGAAGTAGATTTCTTTTCCTGACAGCTACAATGGTTGCCCTCTGCTGGTCAGTAGAAAGAAGACAGGTATAGGACATTTCCACCCTGGCTTTGTTTTTCAGACCTGTATGCTAGAAGCATCTTTTATATACAGTCTATCTATCTGTGTCTTTAGAATTTAATCACTTTTACTAACTCAGACCCCTAAATAGTCATAGCTTTGCTTGAACTATCTCTTGAAATCACAGTCTCTATCTCTCTCTCTCAGGATATGTGAATGTGAAAAATGTGAACTTGTCCTTAAAATCTTCCTGCTAAAAGTTTTATAACTGCCAAAAGCAAACAACACTTTCACTAAATATCATTTAAATCGGTTATTAGGTTGTCAACAAATTGGAACTGATTCAAATGTGCTAGTCTATAATATGTGTATAAAATGTCCACATCCCACAGAGCCCCAGTCCAATGTGATAAGCAGCAGTACAAAGCCTGTCGCCAACCTTGGTGAGGATCAGCTGCTCAGCTGCTATCTTGACACACAAACTTCCCAAGACAAAGTGACAGTGACCTGGAAGAAGACCGACCTGACCGGCCTGGTTTACTTTTATCAGAATGGAGCTCCGGATCTGACGAATCAGGCGTCACAGTTCAGTGGGAGAACTCAGCTCTTCCCTCAGGCTGTAGTCACAGGCAATGCCTCTCTGCTGCTGAGGAATGTGAGACGCAGTGATGAGGGGAAGTACACATGCAGCATCAGCTCCTCTAAAGGTGGAGGAGAGGTCAGCATTCAACTCAGAACAGCAGGTAGGATGACTCACTCTTCAAGATTAATTGTGTGTTTATCTAAACATTCTTTATTGGCATTCATTAGCAGCATGGTTTGCAACACATTGGAATAAGATGGTATAAGGGTATTTCTAGTTTTTGTAATGCTGGGAATTTTAACCAACGTGCTGTTCTGAGTAATGTGAGTACTGAGTGAAGCTTCAATCTTGATTGCAATATTAAATCAGGATTTTTTTCTTCCCTCTTTTATTACATCAGCTTTTTCAGCGCCCACTTTCACCTTCTCAAATGGCACCCTGTCTGCTGAGGCAGTCAGTTGGTTCCCTAAGCCAAGCGTTTCATGGTTAAACCAAACTGAGAACATCCTGAATGGAAGCTCCACTTTCACAGAAAACTCTGAGGGGATATTCAGCATCTTCAGCACACTGCTGTCGGTCCAAGTCAGTGACACCTACAGCTTCAGGATTGAAAACAACTTGGTGATGTCTCTTTCTGAGGCAACTATATCAGGTAGTCTATATACTTTTACATTGACCTGATACCAAACACATTTGTACTAAAGGACTAAAATTCATTCTTTGGCCTATCTTTTATTTATGGAGGCGTAACACTAAGTCAGAGGAATATTTCTTCAATTTAAATCAAATCTACCAGAAAATAAAAGCAAATATATGTATTAATAAATATATAGCTAGGCAAATAATATTATAGGTTTTAAAAAAACTAATTATTTTTCATATTTTTCAGGCTCGGATGTTTCATGGAGGACTTATTTCACCTTCAGTGCTGCTTCATTCCGTCCAGTTGGATCACTTTATCTCATTATTATGACCAGTTTCCTCTGCATCTATTATGTGACCTTTTGACACACTATTGTACACAAAAAAACACAACAGATATAGACAGATACTTCCCCTGGCTGCATATGTGTGTGCATGTGCTGCATTTAAGGTCAGGATATGTCCAAAGTAAAGACTGACATTCACAAAAGTGGTCCTCTTTGAAGATTGTGTAGCTTTACTTTAATGTAATTTATTACTGCGTGTGTTACAGTTGTGTAGTGCCATTTAACTCTGTGCTGGATGTTTTTAATAGTTTATCTATTAACTTTTAATATTATTTTTTACATCCTCTAATGCATTTACAGTGTGTGAACTGAGAGTTCCATTTAAATTATGTCAGTAAAATTCAGCTATCTTGACTTTGAAATTTTACTTTAATGCAGACATGTAACATAATGAAATACAGAAATATAGAAACAAAACAAGAAAAACATTGAAACATTTACATTTTAGCACATTTTCTGTGACAGTTTTAATGTCTAATTCTAGAAGCACTCACTTTATTTCTTTAGAAAGCTCTACCTCTAGTTACCTTACACCTTTCATTTAAATCTAAAAACTACAGACAGTGTCCAGTAACCATGGCAGAACTGGTTTCAGGTAATCTGAACCTTTCAAATAAACCTTAAACACCTCAGTCTACAGAAATCTGTAGATTCCTCTTGGATTTTGTGCGGATGATGTTTGCAGCTGTTTATTCATACTCGATTTATACTGTTGTTCTATTTCCATCATCTGATAATGTTTTTATAAATGCTTATTGCTCTAATTCCTCTCAACAAATATATTTTCACCCCAATGAGACTCAGATTAATGACGGAATTTTAAAAAATTAAATAATTAAAGTTTTATTTTTGAAAAATGCTTTTTGTGATGTCAAGGGTGACCGTGTTGCTTTAAAATGTTTTTTTGTTTTTTTTACTTAAAACCTTTGAAAGTAAATCCTGGGGAATTGATGATTGTGTCCTCCTGTCTGTAGTGACACTAACTTTGCCTGATTAGAAGTCTGCATTTGGGTCCTTTCCACATCCACAGCACAAAAGCTTTATCCCTGGTGGTAGGTGTCAGTTTAATTTCTCTGGTCTGCAGAGGTCCTCCATCAAATGTGTTTTCTGCATCAATTTATGATGAAAAACCTGTTACATAAAGGAAAACACAAAGCTAAAAAAATCAGCCAATAGTTCAACATAATGCAGTGAGTCACATCCCGTATTGTTTTTCAAGTATTTGGTATTGTCAGCTTTTTTCTTTTAGTATTATCTTATTATTATAGTATCATCTATGTATCTGCCTGGTGTCCGGCTGGTTTTGTGCCTTTTGTTACCTGCTTAAATGTGCATATGTCACCTATTTCCATTATTTTAGTTGAGTTATCTGCTCCTGGATTTTATTTCGACTTTACTGTGTTTCAGCAAGATCTCATGTGCAAAACTTTTTCACACATCCACGTTTCACACCGATTTTTAGGAATCGCGTACATCTCCACTAGATTATTGAGGCTGACTGAAAAGGAGAAGTGTGAGCAACACTTCCTTAAGATTAGTTTGTCATCTAGAAACAGCACTTCGAAACTGGAACAAACTTGGCTCACACATTGTTCACAATTTCTCCTCCCTTTTCCTCCTTTGCGTTAAATGTGGCTTCTTCTTCTTCTTCTTTTCTAAGTAATTATGCTTCTTTAATGTTTTTCTTCGGGTGAACTGAATCAGTTGTTAGAAACCCTGGTGCCATGCTGTAAACACAGCCAGCTATTTTTGGTGTTGATGCCATTGTCCCAAAAGGTGATTTCGTATGTTCCACAGATTATAGGACGACGGGTCATTTACAACAGTTTGAACCAGCAGTCCCCAACCTTTTTTGCGCCACGGACCGGTCTAATGGGACTAGAAAGAGAGAGCATATTTCTCCTGTTTTGGCTTCCCTTCATTGGCTTCCTGTTAAATCCAGAATTGAATTCAAAATCCTGCTCCTCACATACAAGGTCTTAAATAATCAGGCCCCATCTTATCTTAATGACCTTGTAGTACCATATCACCCTATTAGAGCACTTCGCTCTCGCTCTGCAGGCCTACTTGTTGTTCCTAGAGTATTTAAAAGTAGAATGGGAGGGAGAGCCTTCAGTTTTCAGGCCCCTCTTCTGTGGAACCAGCTTCCAGTTTGGATTCGGGAGACAGACACTATCTCTACTTTTAAGATTAGGCTTAAAACTTTCCTTTTTGCTAAAGCATATAGTTAGGGCTGGACCAGGTGACCCTGAATCCTCCCTTAGTTATGCTGCAATAGACATAGGCTGCCGGGGGATTCCCATGATGCATTGAGTTTTTCCTTTCCAGTCACCTTTCTCACTCACTATGTATTAACAGACCTCTCTGCATTGAATCATATATGTTATTAACCTCTGTCTCTCTTCCACAGCATGTCTTTTATCCTGTCTTCCTTCTCTCACCCCAACCGGTCGCAGCAGATGGCCGCCCCTCCCTGAGCCTGGTTCTGCCGGAGGTTTCTTCCTGTTAAAAGGGAGTTTTTCCTTCCCACTGTCGCCAAAGTGCTTGCTCATAGGGGGTCATATGATTGTTGGGTTTTTCTCTGTATCTATGAAGTGCCTTGAGGCGACTTTTGTTGTGATTTGGCGCTATATAAATAAAATTGAATTGAATTGAATTAATGTCCGACAGTATTTTCACAGACCGGTCATTAAGGTGTTGCAGATAAATACAACAAAAAATGATACAACCAAGACAAAAACTGTGATATTTTGTAAATAATAAACGCGAATTCACTGTGTAATTGTGTAACTATTTTAGCAGCGTCCTCCTGAAATGCGCCAACAACATTAAGATAACGTCCTGCCCCTTAATGCTCTCTGGTCGCTATGGTAACGTAAATATTTTTTTCAAAATAAGACACAACTACAACACGGGAAAAGACCCAGGCAAACCGAGTTAACGATAAAAAAAAAAACCCTGAAAAACGTAAATTTCACACCCGAGCATCAACTCTCGCGGCCCGGTACCAAACGACTCGCGGACCGGTACCGGTCCGTGGCCCGGGGAACCGCTGGTTTAAATGCAGGCAGTGGGTGGATATATCTTCCACCGTCCTGCCGGTAGATGGGGGCAGTCAAAGTCCCACACTGTGCTGAAGACTTCGGTAAAGTTTTGGACCACCCCGGATAGCCCGGGAGAGGTTTCCTATTGGTCTGCCAATGAGAGAGGTGTCAAATGTCCCATGGAGCAGTAAACTTCTCATGATCAAAAGTGGAGCTTTCGAATGGCCTTTTAATTAATGAATGGGGTGGATTGCCGCAGTGCAGAAAACGTGTGATTTATTATGCAGACAGGGGATTATACAGAAGTTTCCTTCAGCTCTGACAACTTTTTCGAACTCGCTGGGGTTTTTTCCCCCCTTTATTCTTGCTCCAGAAATCACCCAAACTGAACAATGTCGCAGTCTGAGCAGAAAGAAACGTCGGAGCAGGGAGCACAGAGCTCTGGACGCGAGCAGAGCGACGTGTTGGTGAATCCCAGAGCGGTGTGTAAGGTGTGTAAGCGCCTGTACCGGGACCCTAAAATCCTGCCGTGTCTGCACACGTTCTGCTCTGACTGCATCGCTCAGCTGGAGCCGTTTTCGGTGTCTTCACGTATCCAACGGGATGTTCCGGAGGGCGGTAAGCGGGACAAACCACTGGAGGCAGACCGACCCGCCGTCACTATCACGGTGCTCTGCCCTGACTGTGACTCAGAGGTAGACCTCCCTCCGTCCGGGCCCGTCGGGCTGAGTACCGACCACTTAGCGCTGGACGAAGTATTCGTGGAGACCCTGGAAACGGACGGCCCGCTGGGATGCGACCTGTGCGGAGAAGGAGGTGCTGAGAGCCGCTGCGAGGTGTGCTCCGTCAACCTGTGCGAGTTCTGCTGCCAAGCGCATAGGTACAGTTAGCTCCGAGGCTAGTTTTTAATTCTGTTTTGCTATTATGCCTTAGCTCAGTTTTCTTTGTCCCTTCGTACATCCCACATGCTGTTTTTTGTTTATTTGTTTTTTGCTGTCTAATGTATTAAATTAGGTTTTTACCGTGTTTAAAATTTTTAATTTGTTACTTCTACTGCTTGATAATCTGTTTGGTTTTCGTTTGAGTCTGTTCCACAGACTGTAAATGGAAGATGGCTATTGCAAAAAACGTCATCCATTCCTTTTTGAGATCTCCAAGTGTCAGGCTGTGCATCTTAGGCTACTGTGGCCCTGAGAGGTCAAAAAGCACACTCTGCTGTTTGGTGACAAAAATTTGCAAATTATGCAGCATGTTTTATTCATTAAGACCTGGATCCTTTCTCAATTCTCAAGTACGCGAGTCCGGACTTGCCAAGAACACGATCATGGACACACGATTTGTACAACTGGAACACCAGCGTACTTGATGTCTCAGGTCAGGAGTTTTTGCTGCCGTCCCCTCTTAATTTAACTGTGATTAATATGTTATGAAGCTTAACTTAAATCTCAGCCAAACCGATCTACCCAGGAACAAATAAAACACTGAAATAAACCAAACATTAACAATTAGAAATGATCTAAGTGACTTATATATCATGTTTAACCTCAGTAGCGAAATCACTTTTAATAAAAATTGTGTACATGTATGCCTTAATAAAAACAAACAGGTGAGATGTTAGAAGGCTTTTATTTTTATTTTAGTGGACACTCAAAAATTACAATAGACAGCTGCTGGGGTTTGGAAGAGAACTGAACAAATATTTAAAATATAATCTGATCATTTTGAAGCAGCCTTCAGAATCTCCACGTATTAACATGCTGTTTTTCTTCCCGGTGAAAATGTTTCCTCCTGAATTGAAATATATCTCTGTAAACGATGTGCCAGGAGTCCGCTGTTCTCACCGGCTCTTGTGATCCTCAACCTCCCGGTCTGCTATGGAGCTGGTTGGTAACAGACGTCTCCGAAATCGGATCACGTTTGGAAATATTTGATAGCTTGATAAATCGAGCAGATCTTTGAAGTTTACACAGCTTCATTCTCGCTTGAAAATAACTTAAAAGTTTATTTTGTGACCCAGAAAGAGTAATATTTAAAAGTTTTTAGCTGCGCTCCTCTGCCATTGCTGCATTTGGGTTTTGGACTAAATGCATTCTGGGAAATTTAGCTGTACCAAGTTTCACTAGGGCTGCCACAAACGATTATTTTGATAGTCGACTAGTCACCGATTATTTTATGCGATTAGTCGACTAATCAGATCATCATCCATGGAGTAAAACTACAGCTTATTGCACCAGCAGCATCTGCTCTTATATAACTATCATTAGCTTACAGCTTTAAGTGTTTAAGTTGTGCTAACTAAAAATAAAGACAAGATGATAGTTTATTACAATTTTAATGAAATTTGCAGATTGTTTCGGTGAAGTTTAATAAACTCCTTGCTATCTAAAATATGGACACCGAGTATCGAGCATCTCACACTTCTGATAATCAGCTGTCTGCTTGACGTTTATTCAGCTGTGTAAAAACTATAACTTTAATCTCAGCCAAACCGATTTACTCAGGAACAAATAAAATACTAAAAAAAAAAAAAAAGCCAAACAACAACATTTTTAATTTATCTAAGTGACTCATATATATTTAACCTGAGTCGCGAAAGACGGCGGTGGGTTTGAAAACAATTTGCCGGGAGTCCGGTGTTCTCACGGCGCTAGTGACCTAGCCCCCGGCTAGCTATCGAGCTAGTGGGTAACAGACGTCTCCGAAAACGTCGGAGCGCTTTTGAAAATATGTGGTGTCCTGATAAACTGAGCCGATATTTGAGGTTTACACAGCTACATTCTCGCCTGAAAATATGTTAAACGTTTATTTTGTGACCCAGAAAGAATAATAAGAGTAATATTAAAACTAACTAGCTAGCCGCCATTGTTGGAAACTAAGCTGGGCCGCGCTATGAATTCTGGGACACAGCTGCTTCTTCTTCTTCGGGGTTTAACGGCAGCTGGCATCCTTGTACATGCAGTGCTGCCATCTTCTGTTTCAGTCCGTTATTACACTCTTAAATCCTGCTATTATTCCTGCGTCTTTTGCGATCTTACAAAGCTTCAAACGACACGTCGACTATTAAATCAGTCGTCGACGATTTTGATAGTCGACGTAATCGTGACTAGTCGACAAATCGTGGCAGACCTACCAAGTACACACAAGTCACCACCGATGCATGCTCGATAAAACAGGCAGAGCGAGAACACATCCGGAAATTTTTTGCGTTTTCGGCTTGATGCGTACTTTGAATTGGAACAGTACTTGGTCTCCGACTAATGACGTATCAGGAGTTAACAAGAACGCAAGTACTCATATCGAGACAGGCCCCTGGAGTTACTGGCTGAGACCATAAACTTTGTATATATTAGGAACTGATGGTGGTTTTCTCAGATACTTTTATTCAACTGGATATTTTGTTTATTTGTTTGTTTGTCTTTTGTGTTTGTCCTAACAGTGGCACAACACTAATGGTTAGGCGTGACTTATTAAAGGCTGTTTTGTGCTACTCTCTGCACTGCAGTCAGTTACAGTGGAAGGGTTTTTGAGGGTTTTTTTTTAAATATATATTCTGCTTTGAAGAGACTGAGGTTTAAATTGTATTTTACTCTGTTCTTCTTCATCACTAACTGATCTTGTTTACGTATGTCTTCAAGATGGATTCTGAGCCGTTCTGTGCACTAACACACTAACACTGTCTGCACAGACAGTAGCAGACATCCTGGGAAATCCAGATCTGTGTTCTGACTTAAAGATGTGCTCATATGTCTGTGTGTCCTCAGACGGCAGAAGCGAACAGCATCTCACTCCATTCAGGCTTTGGAGGAGCTGAAGGCTTGTGGTCATCTGGTCCGGCCTGTCCTCTGCACCCTGCACCCGGGACAGGAGCTGCGGCTTTTCTGTCAGCCCTGCGACCTGCCCGTCTGCCTGGAGTGTGCCGCCACGCTGCACCGCGACCACCGCTGCTGCCCCACACGTGATGTTATCGATCGCCATGGGGACCGCATCAGAGAGCTGGTTAACGTGCACCTTCGACCCCGGCTCGAGCGACTGGAGGAGTCACTGCAGAAGGTGAAGACTGCCATTTTATTGGGAAGATATACAGACTTTTGAGCCAGTGTCCCAATACCTTCTGTCGTTACCTGCACTTCATGTTTACAACAAGTGGCATGAAATTTGGGTAGCTCACAGTTAAACAAAGGGCACCGCCGCTGTCACCTCAGAGGAGAAAAAAAGCCACATACTCGTTCTGAAAACCTGTTCTAGCACAGTTTGTTAAGCTTATTATTTTAAATATCCAGTATCTGCTTTTAGAACTATAATATACATTTCCACTGGCACAGGTGGAAGCATCTCAGGAGACTTTGCAGGCACGAGTTGAGGCCACAGCCAGTGAGGTGAGGGCATTCGCACGAGGTTACGCCAGCGCAGTGGAGGCCCACTGTCTGTCTCTGCTGCGGCGTCTGGAGGAGCTCCGAGTCCAACGGAGGTATGAAAACATGCATACTGACCAGCTTAAACTTAGCGGGGATTTGACGATTCTCTAGATCCTGGGTTTCCCACATTACATTAGATCAGTGGTTCCCGAACTTTTTTTGCTAGGCCCCCCTTTGTTTTACAAAAATGCCCCCCCGCACGCACAAACACAAACACATCCTCCAACCACACACACCCATATTTTGCTCCATTGCGGTTTATTTCACACCTCAAACATTTAGTAAACAATTAAGCAAATACAAGTAAACTGCAATAAATTACAGGTAGTAATAAAATAAACTACTAACTCTTTTACGCCGTCCGCACCTACACGGGTATTTTTGAAAACGCAGCTGTTTCGTCCACACGTAAATGGTGTTTACAACCGAAAACTGAGATTTTTAAAACTCCTTTTTTGCGTTTCCGTGTGGACGAGGAATACAGAGTTCGTCACGCAACGTCAAAGGGATGTGCCTTTTTTCATGTCACGCTGTGCGCCACGTTATTGTTTACACGAGAGGAATTGCAGAAACAAAATACTGTTAATCTGACTATCTTCAGGTTTTACACGCTTACATACACACACAGTTACTGTCCCTCCATTTACAAAGGCAGAGGCGTCACGGTGTGATTATTTTACATGTAGTTGTTTTTTTTTTTCCTGTGTAATAATATTCAACATTGCTATCAATACATTTTTCAAAAAGTGCCTCTCTGTGCAAAATGGGTTTAAAAACATAAACAGCTGTGAGATCCTGTTTGTCTGTGATTTGAACCGGGGGAACAAATCGTGGCAGGATCAGCCTGATATCATTTGTATCCCACTATACCTTTACTGTATACAGAGCTAACATCTCCAAAATGTCAGGAGTAGTTAGTCATTACAAGTGTTTGTGAACTAAAAATCAAGAATGTGGGATCCTGTTTGTCTGTGATTTGGAGAGCCCAGCGCTGCTCCCGATGAACGGAAAACCAATTCTGCCTCGGCACTTGTGCAGGTGAAACCAAAGGGCAGACATGCTTCACCATATTTTCTAGTCTTTGGCTTAGAATGAAGTTGGTTTGGAAACATTCAGCTATGCTTCATCTCCTGCTTTGCCTTTGTGTGGGCGCCTGTGATAGCAGTGTCCAAGCATCCCCCCCCCCAGGGGGCGGGCTCCACACTTTGGGAAGGTCCGCTTTAGATTATGAATAAAACATGAAATTTTGGTGTTTTTCCAGTGGCATTCTCTACCTCATAGTTTTTAGAAAACACAGTTCTCATCAGAATACTGTGCTTTAACCACCATAGCGCCACATGGCTAGTTGAGAAAGCAAAATGCATAGATGGCTAATTAGCATATCATTACCTTTCCCAAAGCTATTTCTCAAGAGGAGACAGGAGCTTATTGCCACAGCAGGACACAATGCTGTTCATGAATCAATTTCCTCGCACTGCCTAAAGATGAATGAACCACCCCAGGACTGAATAGTTTACCGAGTAGTTACTGATTATGATATAGAGTCGCCAAAGTTGTGGTTAAGATTAACAGGTTATTACAGTTTTGTTTTGTTTTTAGTATTACAACCTCATCAGTTTTTAGATTATAAAGTCAGACCCAGAAAACAAAACCCAGGAAATCTTCTGCTAAGTGTTCGTGGATCCATTTCGACACATTTTTGTGCCAGTATATATAAAAAGTCAATAAGCTGAGCAGCTGCAGTTTCACTGGCAGTGTGTTTGATATCGATGCTGTTGTCTTATCGTCTAATGTCCAAATGCTCTTTTTAGCTGATTCCAAGTGGATGTTGTCTTCACTGGACTTAAAAGTGTTTCTCATTTTGTGAAGCTGTTGACTTACTGTAACCCCAGCGCGTTTGAAATCTCCTGAAACAGAGCTAATTCTTTGTGTTTTGAACTGATCATAACCTTTTAATCACACAAAAATGAACCAGAATTAAACAAGCATAAGCAATCCATTTATTTCTTGAATATTGTAATACAGTAATTATTCACTGCCATGCCACAGAAACCACAGAGAGTCTACCAAGAATATTGTGAGGAAATGCTTTCAACTTTTGCTTGTCTAACTTCTCTGTTTACCAGGAACCACCTCCACTTACAGGGGGTGCAGCTTCAGCAGGCTCTGCTGGACATCCGAGGCAGTGTGGAGTTCGCAGAGCGGCTCCTGAGTTGTGGGTCTGACGCTGAGATCCTCAGTGCCAAAGGAGTGACCTTGAGAAGACTCACCAGCCTGGCAGAGAGGGGTTATGACCCCCACCCAGCAACTGTTGCCCCTGACGATGGCAGCAGTATATCCTTCATGCCCAGGGAACCCGCAGGGGAGGTGGAGGGCTACCCTGTGGTCGGGGTAATCAACTCTAAGACGGTGGATGTCAGCAGGTGCACCATTGAAGGAGAAGGTAAAAGACAGTTTCAACCATGTGTACAGAAGGTTAGGAATCCATACTTGCTTCAATAACACTCTTAAATAAATCACAGCAAACTATTTTCAGGGTCATGTGTACATATTGTATTTTTTATTTTTTTTTGTGTTTTTACCGGCGATAAAACCAATTGTTAGTCTGTGCTATGGACAAGTTTGACACCTTTTCTCCTCCACAAATTTAAGCCGATATCACTTTAGCCCCTCCTATTTTTATAAATTCTGCACTGAGCTTTGAGGTCTCCGATATCACTGAAATGCAGCCAGATGTTGCTTATTTTACATTTGCACTCATTTCTTCACTTTTTTCGACACCCTGTGTACCTGGCCTGTACCACTACCACTTGCTGTGTTCAGAACATCTGCCCCGCTTCGTTATTTCACATAATGGTATGATCCTTGTCTGCCTGCATATTATTGGCCGCATTGTGTCCCCATCAAAATAAAGTCTGACCCCTGCCTGCATAGATTCTTAGTAGGGCTGAATATTCGGCTCCCACATACTGACAGGCCATTAATATACATATATACATATGAATTTATCTTGCAGGCCGGATATAATTGTATCATGGGCCAGATGTTTGACACCCCTGCCCTAAACCATATCAGCAACTTTCAAGAATCAAAGATGCAGCATACACAGAAGTGCCAGAAAAGTGCAGTTCCTCAAATTGCCACTTGAGGCTGGCTCCAAAAATTACTCACTTTCCATAGACCTCCATGTTAAATTCCCCATCTTTAGAGCAGAAGTAAACATGTTGTCGGCGTGCCACAAAAACTTCTTTTGGTCTCTGTGGCAAATTTTTGTACTTCATGACAACCACGCAGGTGAATTTTTATGCAAGTCACCCATTTTAATTGTGTAAAAGGTAAAATTTGTGCCTTACTGGACTGTTTTGAGTCATAGTTGGGTGACATTTCGCGTGATTCCGGATTCAGTTTTTATTTTTAAAAAGACAGTAAATATGATTAAAGCATGTTTTAGGTGGACAGATCCCACATAATGTCTCAGTAAATTACAAACACCATGCTAACCAGACTACCTCCTGGGCTGCCCTCTTACCCAAATACATTCATGCCAAGTTTAAAGAAACAGACAAAATGTCAAACTGAAGGTTTTAAACGTTAATCTACAAACAAGTCATCATAGTGACTGTGTCCGTCTTTTATATACATTCTTTGCCTAAAATGACTCATTGCATCATCATTATGACCATTGTTTTTTTTT